TATCAAGTTCCAGGCCGGCCTGGGTCTGCCACAAGATTCTATCTCAAAAACAACCAAAACACAAACCCAGAAACAGACAAACAAAAATCACCTGAGGGGTTTATTGGAAGAGCAAATTCTGCAACAAATATGGTAACCCATGTCTACAATCACAATATCTGGGGGGCCTTTGGGAGAGAGGGAGACAGGAGGATCTCCAATTCACCAAGGTCAGTCTGATCTACACAGTCAGGATCCTACCTGAAAAACCCAAGGCCTGGGGGCTAGGGAGAAGACTCAGAGTGTTAAGGCTACTGGATGTTCCTACAGAGGACCTGGGTTTGGTTCCCAGCACCCACATGGCAGCTAAGAATCATCTATAATGAGTTCCAGGAAATCCCAAGGTCCTCTTCTGGCCTCTTCAGCCACTGCATGCATGGGTGCACTTACATATATGCAGGCAAAACACTCATACACATTTTTAAAAAAAGCCTAGTTGAACCAGGAGGATCAGAAGGGTTCACGACCAGCTCCAGGCTAGTCCAAGCTAAATGGAAACCTGCCACAAAGAAGCAACAAAAAAGGTACAACCAAGGCCAAGGGGTTTAACTAGATGGTAGAGTGCTTGCTTAACATACACAAAGTGCTGTGTTCAATCTCTAGTACCACATAAAAAAGGAGGAAATCCATACAGATTCTCAGGACCTAATTCAAAGGGTTCCAGACGTCTGAGGTAGAACAAGGATGTTCTGTGACCCAAATACCAAGAATTTAATAATTCTTTTGTTTAATAAAAACAAAATTAAGGCTGTCCCGCAAGAGGCTGGGGGCTAGAGAGATGGCTCAGAAGTTAAGGTCACTTGCTGTTCCTACAGAGGACTCAGATTTAGTTCCCAGTACCCACATGGCAGCTAACAACTGTCCATAACCCTCTTCTAGCCTCCTTGGACATTGCATGGACATGGAACACTTACATACATGCAGGCAAACATACATATACATAAAATACAAAAAAAAATTTAATTAAAAAAAGCTGAGTGGGCTGGCGAGATGGCTTCAGCATTTAAGAGCACTGGCCGCTCTTGCAGAAGACATAGGTTTGGTTTCTCAGCACCCACATGGTGGCTTAACAATCATCCATAACTCCAGTTCCAGGGGCTCCGACACACTCCTCCAGCCTCCACAGGCAATGCATGACATGGGTGCGCTTTCATACATGCAAACAATACACTTGTATCCATAAAATTAAAATAAGCTGAAAATTAGTCTTCCAGAGAAAGAACTGGCATAAATGAATACAACTAACATTATCAGAGTACCTAATATGCCATAAAAAGGACAGAAAAGTTCCCATTTTGAAGAACTGAACTGCCAGTATGGGAAGCAGAATTTTTTTTTTTTTTGTCTCTGTAGGGTCTCTGTAGCCGGCCTGGAACTCCCAGTGTAGACCAGGCTGGCCTTCACCTCAGAGATCCGCCTGCCTCTGTCTCCCAAGTGCTGGGATTAAAGGTATGCACCACCACGCCTGGCTGAAGCAGAAATTTTGGGGGGTTTTTTTTGGTCTTTTTGAGACAGGGTTTCAGTGTAGCCCCAGCTGCCCCGGATTCGCCATGGCGACCAGGCTGACCTCGAACTCACAGAGACCTGCCTGCCTCTGCCTCCTGAGTGCTGGGATTAAAGGCGTGTGCCACCACACCAGGCCCAGAATTTTTTTTTTAATTAAGGAATTCCAGTAGTGGTATGTTATGAAGAAAAAGCTAGTATCTCAACAGTAAGCAGAATGACATAACGGAATAGGTCAAAGCAGCTTGGGAGAATATTTAAGCCATAGGGGAGTGCAAAGGCCCTAAAGCGAGAGCTCTCTGGACTACTTTGAGACACAAAGCAAATGGGGCTAAAATACTGGAAGAAACTGAAGAGATGAATATAAAAGAGAAGAAGGCAACATTAAATGGTAAGTACCAAGCAAGCCCAAGTCAGGAATTTGGTTATTATGCATGGGAGATTTTCAGTTGGGGGAGGAGCAGATGACACAATCTGATTTATACCCCTCCCCCCAACTCAGGGCCTTGTACTTGCTAGACTCAGGGGCTCTACCACTGAGCTAATTAGAATACACCATAAAAAGTCAAAGTTACTAGAGGCCAGAAGGTTACTACAGTTGACCACAAGAGAGATGGTGATAGTTTGACAAGGAAGGTGGCCCCAGAGATGGGAAGGGAATGCATATTGAATGCTGTAACTTTTAAATAATTAAAGAGATTGAGCAAGGTGTGGTGACTCACACTCCCTTTAATCCCAGCACACAGGAGGGAGAGACAAGGGGATGATGGAGGCCAGCCTAGTCTATTTAGCAAGATGCCGTTTCAAAAGAAGCAAAGAAACAAAAAATTAAATGAGCTGCAGCGATGGCTCAGCAGTTAAGAGCACTTGCTACTTACTCTTCTAGAGGACTGCAGCTCAGTTCCCAATACCCCAATTGGGCAACTCGAAATTGCCTTGTAACTCCAGTTACGGGGGATCTGACCCCCTTTTCCAGCTCTCTCAAGTACCTACACACACGTGCATACATATGTAGATGCATAAACATACACATAAATCTTTTTAAAAATCTTTACAGAAAAAGAACAAAGTCACATGGAGTACTAAGCATCTGGGATTAATTACTCAAGAGATGATGAATGACAGTAGTGATTTACAGGTTTGGGGAAAGTTTATGAGACACCAGCCCAAACTGGTATTAATAGGTTTAAGAGCTTTGAAGCTGGGGTGAAGAGAGCATTTCTTTCCAGAGTAGGGTCCTTTGGCACCACTGGTTAAAAAAAAAAAAAAAAAAAAAAATGGTGGACTAGGTGGCACATACATCTAAGACCCAATGTTAATAAAGCACATTATGATGTGTAAAATCCTCCAGGACCTTTGAGCTGGGGTGCTAAACAATGGCTCTACACTTGGAGCACTATGTAAGTAAGATTACACTTGAACTTAACCTGAATGAAACTACTAAATAAGAAAAACTTTCTCACCTTCCACACTGTGCCTGCTGCCCCAAGAGTTTAACAAGCTAAGCCTGGCTTCTACCATACAATGCCTATGAACTTCTTAAGTCTCAGAATATCATCAAAGAGATATGGAATCCTTGCCCTTTTTTTTTCTTTTTATCTTTTTGAGACAGTCTCCCTGTGGTCCCAGATGGTCTAGAACTCACTATGTATACCAGGCAGGCCTCGATCTCAGAGAGATCCGCCTGCCTCTGCCTCCCAAGGGCTGGGACTAAAGGAATGCCACCATGCCCAGCTCATCTTAGAGACATGAGGAAAAATTGTAAAACCATTTTAATAGTCATTGTTTTCCCAACAAGGTGAATTTCACCATAAAATTAAGGTCCAGAGTCCTATTGCTCAAAAAAGTACCAATATGGCAGAAAAGTAAATGCAGTATAATACCATATTTGTATAATATATAAATACAAAAACAGCTGGAAGGATATAAACTAATATTTTGGTGACTTGAGTGGCAGAGTTATTCCTTTTCATTAACATTTTCTTCACAAAACATTTTGTGCAAGCAAATACTCAGTTCTTGGTTTATATAAAAGGCAAAAAGCTAGAACGGGCAAATGCAAAAAAAAAAAAGAAAAAAAACACAATGTCCTGCGGGGTATACCGGTCCGTGCCTTTAGTCCTAGCACTCAGGAGGCAGAGACAGAGGGCAGCCTGGTCTACCTCGACAGTTCCAGGCCTGCTGGGACTACTGGGAGAATCTGTCTCTAAAAAAAAAAAAAAAAAAAGGCAATGAAAGGCAAGAAATATCCCTTCATCCACAACGAGATTCCAACTACGGTAGAAGAAAAATGTCTCAGTGGCCTACGTGGGAGGAAGAGATTGGCTAATAGGTCCATGTTCCACTACCACAAGGGCATACAAGGAAAGTGATCTAAATTCCTAATAACTGTTCCTGGATTTGACAGGAAGCCATCTACCAACACGTATTTTTGTCGTTCTTTCTTGATATTTCCCACAGAAACACTTCAATTAGTGGGGTTCTTGGAGAGGGGGGGACATGACCCTTTCTATAAGCGCCGTTAGGATGCCCAAGTTTAGTTTTCTGCTCTTCTGAGCACTGAGGGCAGCAGTCCGGGCAGGCTACCCGAGAGGAATCTGCGTGAGCAGTGGGGCACCTGAAGCAGCAGCACGTAGCTGCTTTTTGCAACCTGCACCAGTCAGCAAGCTTCCAGAATGCCTCAAGGGTCTGCAGGCTAGAACACCTGGGATCCGATGGCTTAGAGATGCCAGTTAGGCTTTTCAAATTCTAGTACCACCACAAAACCGGGAATGTCTCTTCTACAAATCCAGGTATAATGCTTGTGAAGCTCATCCGACGCCCCTGATGCAAAACCGAGATTCTAAGATTAAGGCCACGTCCTCGGTTTTTCCGACGTGGACAACTGAAAGCAATCGGCCACCTCTCTACGGTTAACAAGTATCGTGGCCACAATCCTAACGTGTTTAAACAGTCACCCTGGAAAACTTTGCCTTTAAGCAGGAACACCGGACTACAGCCACCGCCAGGCAATTGCCCAGTACTCGACCCAATAACGGGTGCTGCTACCTCAGCCAGCACCAGCAGAAAGGGGGAATCCTTTCAATCTGCACCACAATGGAGGCTAAAAAGAGGTCTGGCTTTCAGGACGGTAGCTATACTGTACCATCCATTATAACAAAGGGCCGCATCCTAGTGACTTCATCAGCCCGAGACGGAAAAAGGACTCGGCAGGGCCGTGGGGGTCCCTTCTCCCTCGACTGCACGCCTGCGCTGCCGTCCGGCCCATCGCGAGCAAGCACCCGGGCAGCCGCTCCCAGTCCTGCCCAGCTGCAGGCTGCCCGGCCGGCCGCAGCGGCCCCGGAGCACCGAGCCAGAGCCTCCCCGCGCCGCCGCAGCGGTACCCGGAGCCCGCGGGAAAAGCCAGGGCGACGCGAAGGCGGTCGCCACCGAGGGCGGTGGGACTGGGGGACACTCACCCGCCCAAACAACAAGCGGCGGGCGGGGAGGGTGCGAGCCAGGAGCGTCCTAAAGGCGGCGGCTGCTCCGGACGCCGCTGCCGCTGCCGCTGCCGCTGCCGGCCTCTGGCTTCCTCCCCTGTTCTGTTTGGATTCCAGGGACCACGTCACTCTGCCACGAGACCCGGATCTGCCGGCTCCCTCGGGCTGCGCAACAGATGGCAGCGGCCCAACCTCCAGCCAGCCAGCCCGCCCAGCGGGCATGCGCGCCACGCGGGCCTCCAGCGGGGGGACTGAGGGGACGCTCCAGCTTGGGCGCTGACGTCACGCCGTGCGAGAGCGTAGGGAGTGCGGAGGAGGCGCTTCCGGTTTGGAGGGGTGGGACTGGTCCCTGAAGGAAGCTGGGCTCCCTTAGTTGGGTTTAATTGTCCCTCGTAGTCTTTGTTGTCTTTGGTGGTGTGATCTGACGTGTGTATGTTTTGCTGACAGAATGGCTGTGGTCCACCGCAGTGTTTAGTAATACCTGGGCGGAAGTGGGAACAAATCCATGTTTGCCGAGACTCAGCCAACCTGCAGAGATGGTAGTAGTTGACCACTCAGGCCCAGGTGGAAGCTGGAGCTCGAGGATTACAAAACCATGTCAAGTGTGGTGGTTTTTAGTGATCCTCATTACTGACAGTTTTGCACGAGAAAGCAAACCTAAATCAAGTTCAACGTTGTTAAAGAGGATGTGTTAGGGGCTTGGGCATGGTGGTGCACGCCTTTAATCCCTGCACTCTGGAGGGAGAGACAGGCCAGCCTGGTTTAGAGAGTTCCAGGCCTGCTGGGGCTACAGGGAGATCGTGTCTCAAAAAAAGAGAGAAAATGGGGGACAGTGCTAAATTAAAAATGAGTCCCACTGGGCGTAGTGGCACTCGCCTTTAATCCCAACACTGGGGAGGCAGAGGGATCTCTGTGAGTACAAGCTTGGCCAGCCTGGTCTACATAGTGAGTTCCAGGACAGCTGGGGCTACAGGGAGACCCTGTCTCAAAAAGAAAAAAAAAAAAAAAGAAAGTCC